TAAAATCTCCCCAAAATAAAAGCTTGACTTTTTTTATGTCATCAAATTTTTAGGCATTATAGTTTTTATAATTTGAACAATCCTTGGAAGCTTTAAAAAAATAAATAAAGACTTCACAGTGTGATGTTAATTTGTTCCACACATTGCTGTTTTGTGATTTCAACACAAAATTATTTAAGATGATCCAACACAAATATTAGCTATGTTTTATACATACTACAGTTATGTACACGATTCTGTTTTGTTGTGTAAATATCCATCCATCCATCCATTTTCCGATCCGCTTATCCTCACAAGGGTCGAGGTGGGTGCTGGAGCCTCTCCCAGCTGTTTTCGGGCAGTCGGCGGGGGACACCCTGAACCGGTTGCCAGCCAATCGCAGGGCACACAGAGATGAACAAACATCCACGCTCACACTCCCACCCAAGAACAATTTCGAGTGTTCAATCAGCCTGCCATGCATGTTTTTGGAATGTGGGAGGAAACTGGAGTACCCGGAGAAAACCCACGCAGGCCCAGGGAGAACATGTAAACTCCACACAGGGAGGCCGGAGCTGGAATTGAACCCGGAACCTCCGCACTGTGAGGTCGACGCGCTAACCACTGTGTAAATATCCATTAGACCTAGATCTACAAGCTGAGCCGCTTCTAATCGGAACTACGTGACATCCTGCACGTGAAATTGAGATGATAATGGCTGCTCACTGCCCTGAACATAATGCCTAGACAAGCTAATGCAAAGATTAGAGGTACACTAGAGATTGAAACACTTTACCATGAGGATTGTGACTAGTAAAGGATTAAACCACAATGTCATTTAAAAAGAGATGAGCTCCCACTTCATTCAGGTCCTGTAAGACATCTCATAATCCCCTGAACATTAAAAGCAAAGGGGAAATATTTTCTCTCTCCCCAATGCAAGGTTATCCCGACCGCTGCAGTTTACATAACGTCTCAATGTATGGTGTCAGGGGGACACGGGGGTGTCAAGTTCAAACGGCCAGACCGGTTCTACCTGGTGCGGTTGATGTGTGAACGAGGTTCTCCAGGTTGTTGGCCCTCAGGACGGCCACCTTGATGCGATGTGTGTGAGGGTTATAATGCAGCAGAATCAAGATCTGTGGAGGACCGCTAAGCCCCTTACACATCTGTACATTCTGGTAGATCGCATTCTGCAGAGAAGGAAATGTACCATGAGTTAAAAAAAAAAAAAAAAAAAACACCAACATTTAATTTTATAACTTGAAAAAAAAAAAAAAAACCACCAACATTTAATTTTATAACTTGATTTTTTTCTCCTAATAAAAATTTATTGTGAGCACAATCTAATATTTTGCCATTTCTTTGTTCCTTTTCTGTGGCGTCTCTTGGCTTTTGGCAAACCAGCAATAAGATACTTATTTTATCTTATCTTATTAGCACCACCAACTGATGTCGTTCTTTCACTGGAAAGAAGCCAATGTCAATTGACGGTAGAGGAATGTTATAAAGTTTGCCGACGCTTACGAGTGATGGGGGTATAAACCGCACTTTTATCCAAAATTTCCTCCTGTCTTAAGATTTAAAAAATGACTCTTGAGTCATATCTAAAAAAATAAATATAAGTCAGGAGGCTGGAATCTCAAAGGTAAACCACCTAGAAACATCATACAGTAGTGAAAAAGAAGACAGGTGTTCTATTCAGGGCATTTTCTCCAATACACACTGTTGGCACACTTTTTTTGGCTGCGCAGATTCTCTTATCAATTTACGGGAAGTGTGTCACTTACACACCTTCATGAAACGTACACACTGGGTGGAGTGCGACCTTGTAATGAGGGCATTCACTGACAATGTCGTGGTGCCCGTATTTTCCCAGAAATCTAAGTAGCTTATTTTGTCTTCTGCGCTCTAGAGGCTGTACTAAGGTCTAGCGCCCTCCAAAGGCGAAACATTATATTACATAAGTAGTCTGCTAATGAGAGCCTATTTATTTAACAAATGCCAAAACAACACAAAACATCGTGAATAAAAGACTTTTGTACGCAAAAAGGTTTTTGTCCAGTGAGAACCAACATAATTCTTCTATGGACCTACAACCTTTTTGGCCGTCCATTTGTTTGAAAGGAGCTCTTTGGTGACGTGAATCTCTTGGTTTGCATTCCAGTCTCTTCCTCCACATTCAGCCTGGAGCTCCCTCAATGCGGTGCCTGTCAGTCCTTGTGCATCCCGAGTGTACAAAGCTATTCTTAGGGTGCACCTTTGGAGCTCCTCTGCAGAGTTCACGTTTAAAACCAGGACTCGGCTAAGGCCGCTCCGGATTGGCGCTTGCATGAAATCGGGATGGAGGGGTGGAAGGCAGGCCTGCACCGACACATCATCCAATTTGTGAGATGACCCTGTGAGGCTGAGGATCGTGATTGTCAGGGTCCGTCTATCTGGTGAGAAGAGGACTGTAAAATTGAGATGGGGTCTCGTCGGTGTTGACGGTTTGCAGTTGGTAGAAGAGCCGTAATCCAATGACACCAATGGGATTGGTTCCTCAGGTGTGCTGGCTGAGTTTCTGCTGAGCCTACCGCCCTCCTGGTATATACTGTCACCAGTCACAGTGCAGCGTCTCTGCAGAGCCTTGGATAGAAGTTTGGGGAAAGAATGCAGCGTAGTATTGCTATTGTCTATGTGTTTATAAAGAGGCGGATTGCTGAGGCGGCGCAGTGAGAAAAAAGTTTTGGGCTGCTCCTTCCGGGCTTTATTGGAGAAAGACCAGGAGGTAAATTCCCCCTCAAAAGGGCTCGGGCTGGTGAACGTGGACGGGTAGTCCAATGTATCTCCGTCCAGCTCTTCATAGTGAAGCCTGGATGATGACGAGGGCGCTGCCGACGGGGGCACACAGCGCTCTCTGGTCACAGGTTCAATTGATGTCACACTCTGATTGTCTTCATGACAACAAATGTCACTCTGCCACCAGCAGAGAACACATCCCAGGAGCAAGCTTAGACAGAAAGTGATCAGTCCAACCAGAAGGAGAACTTGAAGGTGAACTGTAGACAGACAAAGCACAAATGTTTTGGGACAAAAGACGGCCGAATGTGTTTGGAAACTTCTTGGCTTTACCTTCAAGTTGTTTCGTGAAGAGCACTTGTAGAAGAAGCCAGAAGAAGAGGATGACGATGATGACCTCGATCATACCCTTACAAAAAAACAGCACCACAGACTGCCACAGAGGCTGGCCCGGATACTCCTCGTCGTGATAAGGCATGACGCCCACCGTCAAACTTGCTAGCCAACCGCACAGTTACCGGCGCAAATGCGTTTTGGCAAGGCACGGAAACATCCTCAACTTCAGTTTCCAACAGCTCCTGTCAAAGCATCTTGATTGTCTGAGCCAACATGACAGGTTTGTGCAAAAGTGAAGATAAAGCAAAACAAAGTAGGATATCCCACGGCTATACAATGTAAGGCTTCCTTGGGAATAAAAGCACACAAAAACAAAAGATTATCATTGTTGCTCCTGATCAAACTAGGCCAGTCAGTTCCTCATCAAGAGTGGGTATGCCAGTATTATTGCGATCCAGAGGGTGGGGTCTATGGGCGGTGACCTCCATCTCATAATGCCTCTCATAGAGTCTGTACGCTTCTTTCCTAGCTGACACCGTACCAGCTGTCGATCCAGCAGCATCACCGCGTAATAACCTATCCCGACAATAAATCCCACAATCCGTCCCCGCGACCTCATCCCCACCGCCCATGAAATCTTCGCTGCGGAATTTGTTTTGCTGTCGGTTCGTTATTACAGCATTGACATGCAAGTTTAATTCATTCTGTGTAATTACATAATTAAAGAGAATGTAATGTTTTAGACAGGTTGTGCATGATGATTAATTATTTAGCTCTGCCTTGGCCACATGGGGGCAACAGAAGCTGCAGTAAGGGTTGTTTTTTTTCTGCAGAGGATAAAGAAAATCTGCCTTTGTGTTGCCTTATGTCTACATGTGTTGCTACACCGTTTGTGTATTCGGTAGCCAGTCTATGGCATTTTGCATTGTTTGTTGGCATCGAGCTAAAATGACTTTTTTTTCAAAAAAGTTATATGGTTGTTTTAAATGTCCAAATCTCTTCTTTATGCTTAGTTTGACGTTAAAGTTCAACTGGGCGTGGCATTGAACGGCTTGAAGCCTCTTTTTTGAAGAACTGTTCAAAATTGGCCGACTGACTTCAAAGTTGGGTCACCAGCATCACACGACACCACTCCATTTAATTTGCTGGATTCAATTTTTGATCTGATGACATCTTGAAAAAAATTACACAACAGATCACCTTACCGGTAAAGCAACAGTTTGAAACTTACATGCTTAAAGAGTAAACCCAGAAATGACTTCAAAATATGAATCAATGATATACGATATTTACAAGGTTATGAAGAAATTGCGTACCTCAAATGTACAGCTTTTCTGAAGTAGACTTGGTGCATTCACAATAGTCGTTAGGGAAATAAATAAACATTTATTTATTAACTGTTCTAGAAAATGCACAAGAATAACCTCTGAACCCAACCTCGTTGTTTATGAGAGAGAGAGAGAGAGATCTTGCTTTGGAAAAAGAAATAAATTCCGGTACACATGCCGGCTGAAACTTTGAACTCGGTTACCTTGGCCCAGTTATCTTTTAAAATGCATCAGTTTGTCTGTTATTGTGACATGGGAGTATATTACACAAAAGGTTTGTGAATGATTGGTTAAAAATTGTCTGGGCACTGAAAACATTGACATAAATTGTACTTTGACCCCAGCGACCTTCTATTTGCTGCATCAGAGATCCATTGTATAGATTTCAATGGTTCAGGTGTTAGTGTAAACTTGATTTAATTTTCCACTCCCTTTTAATTCTGTGTGAATGTGTATATATTGAACTAAACCTTTTTTTTTTGTGAGACAGCAGCTTTGACTTTGCTGCTATAAGTATATTCTTTGATCGCATGATCCGTCGAAAACCATGACGGTGAGCATACATAACACCTCAGGCATAAACCAGCTTGCCCACTGGCAAGTATTTATTTGATTTTTTTGTTAACACACCACATGACAATTGTCCAAGGTTGAATCTTTTAGACATCCGAAAATTGGGCCTATCCTGAAAAAAAAATGCTCAAGTTAATTTGTTTGGTTAAGGAGGAGGGGGGGAGAACAATTGGACAGCACACGATTATTTTATTCCACATGACCGTACATCCAACTAATATGTTGTCAAAGACCAAAACAGGGCCTTGGTGTTCACACTTGTCAAGTTCTCAGTAACATCTTGTTGGCAATTTTTCTTGATTGTCCACTTACAGTACACGTCAGCAGATGGCTACATCAGCTCCCGCTGCTTTAAGAATTGCATATTTCTTTCAAGGATTGAGGTAGCACTGGTTCAGTCCAACGTGAGGTCAATAATGATACATTCGTCGCCTGTACAAAAATACATCACAGCAGAGTTATGGGTCCAGTGGACATTCCTGAGTTCAGAAAGTCCCCCCCCAAAAAAACAATTGATCAAATGAGGTAAGTATGGCATCTCTTCTACACAAATGACTCCCAGCAGATATGTTCGAGGCAGAACTACAATAATTAAATAAAGAAAATAAAATACAAATAAAAACTCCAACCAGCAAATGTTTCTTAAAAATCCTTCTAAATACATAAGGTCCTGCGGTACCTGAAAGTGTATACATTTCCCTGAAGGTTGCCATGAAAACTACTCGCAATAACCAGCCATCTGTCGGCTTAAATCATATGCACTGGTCACGAAACAGAACTACGACACTGAGCTAAGGCTTTTTTGGTCTTCATTCACTTTGGCAACACCGCTGTTCCATAGGCAGCAGAACAGGATGACAAACTAGCTAAAGAGGTTGCAAAAACAGCTTTGATTCTCTCTCAGCACTAAAGACACTTCAACATGTGAACATCACTACGATTCAAAAAAAGCTTACATCAGGAACTAAGATTAGCAAGTTACGTTTCGAAGCTTTCCGAGGCCACATGCTTGACAACATGAACGCAAACTAACAGCAAACGTATCATAAAAAAAACATCCAAGTGTGTCAAGGCCGATAGACTGAAAGAACAAGACATTAGACCGAGTGGCAGACGTATTTCAAACAATTCTTGCCTGACTTTAGAGCTCCTATAATTTATACTGCTTAATGACAAGGGTGAGAATGGAGTAGAAAAAAAAAAAAACAAGAACAACTGATCTTTAATTTGGTCCCTTTGAGGAGGTGGAGGATGAAGATGAGGGGCTGTGAGAGGAGGAGAAGGCACTGAAACCGCTCGTCCCTGCTGGAGTGACAGCCTGCGAAACCACTGGCGGTCCGGACTTCTGAGCAAACAGGGTTCCTGTTGCCAAAGACAAGCGCAATTGAGTCCAGCGTATTAGGGCAACCCTCCCATGTCAAGCGCAGGTAGGCCTCCTAGTGGCTGCGAGTAGCACAGCGAGTGCTGGAACCTTCCGGCAATGGAATGACATCATGGCTACGTCATTGTTTTCGTACCATTAGCTTTTCCAGCTATTTCGCATTAGCTCAACCCCCTGTGTTTGAAATAAATCTAAGTATGAACTATCAAATTTGTAAAGTCATGAAGATTGACAGAGTTGATTGTGTATATGTCAAAATGTAATTCCACATACACTACCATACGCATAGCGCTACACATAGTCTTTTTCCCGTGTGTGTGTGTGTGTGTGTGTGTGTGTGTGTGTGTGTGTGTGTGTGTGTGTGTGTGTGTGTGTGTGTGTGCGTGTGCGCGCGGCTAGCTGAAACTGGGGACTTAGCATACGCGCTGTCACTCCACAGGAAAGCAAAAACTTTTTTTTTTTTTTTTTTTTTAAACTAAAGGAAAATGACAAAAATAGTAGCACACAGTGAAGTAAAGTTAATCTGATTACTGGTCTGGAAAATGTAACACATTCGATTGCGTTAATAGTTTCTGAATATATAGGGTATAAATAAGTGTTAATTCATCTTTAAACAACTTACCGGAGTACAGGGTGCCATTGACTTCCACAGAAACACTAATACTGGCCGCTCCATTGGTGGAGATACTCAGGGACAAATCCTGTTTGCTCTCTGTGGGAAACAAAGTCAAACATTTCCCTTAAATGGCCGCCTCCCATGAGGTCCATGAATGCGAGCGGCGAGGACCACTCACCATGACCATTGTTGAGCTTGAAATTCAGGGGATTGAAGTGGGAGGCCATCGCCAGGAGGTTTTGCTGGAGCGCCTGCTGCATGAGGCGCTGCTGCTCCTCTGCCAGACGCATCATTTTCTTCTCTGGCCCGTCAGCAAGAGCGCCCCCTACGCCACGCTCCAGCCTCTCACGTAGATGCTCCAGAGTGGCTGCTTGGGCCAACTGCTGCTGTTGATGATGTTGTTGTTGCTGCTGCGGCGGCTGTTGCTGCTGCTGCTGCCCGAGTGCCAGTGCCATGGGCAGCCGGCTGGGAATCACTGGAGTTGAAGCCTCATCTGTACCATTGTGCAGAATGCCCATTTAAAACAAAAGTAAGAATGGATTGAGGAAAAGGGAAAACAAAAAGGTGCTTATCATACCTGGATTTTTCTTCACATTTGGGCTGATTGACTGACTGGAAGTGTTGTGTCCAGAGGTGGAGGTCTGCATCGTGGGCGATGAGAGGAGGTTGTGCGGAGCGGCGTTTGGAGAGGGCGAATAGCGATACAGGCTGTTGGTGTAGCTGGGACGCCGACCTTCTCTACGGTTACTGTCGATGGCCGCCTGCAGCTCCCCTGGAGAACTCAGACCCTTCTTTTCACACTCAAAAGGATACAGGTACTTCATGTACCTAAAAAAAAGAAAAAAAAAAGAAACATATTTAATTAAACTCAAGTTTTTTTTTCTTTGATTTGGATTTCTTGCTCTAATGCTCCCCCTGTATTTATAAAATATAATTAATTTTTTCAAGACACTTGTCTGCCTCACAGTTCTGAGGTCCTGGGTTCAAATATTAGCTCCAGCATACCTGTGCAGAGTTGGAAGCTGGGATAGGCTGTAGCTAGCTCGTGACCTGAATGAGGACAAGTGCTATAGATAATGAATGGACGGATGGATGTGGCGAGACAAATCTGTAGCAGTAAAAGCATCAAGACATCTGGACCAGTGCCACACGAATGCCCTTTACTGGATTAATAATGTACTTACACAGTTTTAGTGAATACACATTTCACTTCAGAGACGATTTAAAAAAAATATTACGATAATAAGTAACTTGCCCAACACACTCAACGAAGCAGAAATTATGTTCTCTCCTGCAAATTGTTTGTTAAATGCTAACTGGGCAATATTAATATGTGTTATCAACGTTAAAATGCCCAATTTTTTTAACATACCTAAGTTTGCTGTGATTTTGCTTTGCACCTATAGCGTTCTGACTTTGCTCTTTGCGGTTATAACATATAAATGTCCCCATTCCGGGAGTAATAAATGATTTGCGTTATCATTAGATAAACTGGGACTGCCAAGGCATGGAAAGGACACCGTGTGCCTTATCATGAGCAAGTGTACCATCCGGATGGTTTTGAGACCGTTCGGGTAATAATAAACCTTGACATTATCCGCTGTCATAGTTTCAGACACGTACTGCGTGCGCAGAGTGAAAGCCGCACTGGTAATGGACGTCGGGAGGTTGAGACCTCTGGTGATCTCCCTCCAAATCTTCTTGTTGATGACCTCCACCAGGCCTCCCTTCTCTGTCACAAGCTTATAAAGTTTGTACAGGTCCAGCACTTGTTTGGCCATTATGGGGATGCGGTTCACAGGCGTCCCTGAAGGAAGCAAAACACCAATTACAATGACATCAATTTTTTTTCAAATTGCAGCTATGAGTGATTTGCTAAAAAAAAAAAAAAAAAAAAAAAATTTAAAGGGAGAAACCAGCTATTAAAAGATCGGGTCGACATGGACAAGGTCTGCTTTGCTCACTTTCAGGCCAGAGATAATAGCAGGTTGAAAAAAAATAAACAAAAAGGCTCAGCACATGCAATCTCTGTGCATAGACTCTTCTAAGGAGGTTTATTTCAGATGGATGCGGGGGGGTTAGGGGGGTAATTCCACAGCAACTGCTTTGTTTGAGAATTGATTTGAGCAAGCGTGGGGGGTGGTTCTGGGAGAGCAGCAGTGGCTGCCAATCACGGGGTTGACAGCTAACTCCGCAGAGCCTGAGCCGCTGTCGTAAAGCCAGTTAATGAAGAAGGCTAAATACAAGTTGTAGAAATAAGATTAGCTTAGGCTAAGCGTGAACACATGCACGGTCGGCCTGCGGGTGACCTCTTCGGTGGGCTGACTTATTTGTTCTGAAAGGTCTTTATCGGCTTGAACTGTGTATGAAATATACTGTATATCCAAGCACATACTGTGTGGATACTTTAATAAATAAAACCCTCAAATGGGAAAACCCATCAAATGAATGAATGGATGGCTTTGGACAATGGTATCAGTTGAGAAAATGTGATTTATGTCACACAAAAATGTAATGCTGAGAAACATCTTCAAACTGTAGTTCCAGCTTGACTGGGTGTTAAAATTTTAATTAGCATCTCTTAGTTAGTTACACATGAAGTAAAAGTCAACTAATAATAGCCCCGAACATTGCTAACTACTCAAACATATCATATGCTTGGAAACGTTTTCAGAATTCTAAGCGTCTTTAAAAAAAAAAAAAAAAAACGACATTAGAAAAAGAATAGGAAATGAGAATCTGACCTCGTTTTTGCATGAAGACAAACAGATCATCAAGAAATTCCTTGCGCTGGGGGTCATTGTCCAGTTCGTAAAGCTATATCGCAGATGCAAAAGCTCATTAGCATCATTTCTCGTCAAAACCAGAAAAGGGACCTCCAGTGAATTGACTGACCTTTGCAAAGTCCCTGGATGGTTCTGCTCTGCCTCTTCCTCCTTCGTTCTCCTCAGCCCAGATGGGAGCTCTCTGTGTATGAAGAGAGAAGGGCCCGACAGATTAATAAACCGGCTGATACGAGGCCTTTTCAAAATTACAATAACGCGCCAGAATTTTGCCGATTTAAGGCCGGTAGAACACTTTTCAGTCGGTATGGGAAGAAAGCAAAGGAGATTCATGACAGAGCGTCATTCTGTGCAATTTACAGCCATCTCTATCCTCTCAAATGGCCATTAAGATGCAGAAAAATATGTGCTGATAATATTTAGATTCATGTTTAGTATGCATTACAAGTACCAATATAGATTTTTTGGAAGGAGGTGGCAATTTTTGGCAGAAAAAAAATACAGATTACTGAATAATTAGATCATTAAATTTAAAAATCGGAATGCATAATACAGTGGTACCTCTACTTACGAAATCAATTGGTTCTGGAAGAAATTTCTTAACTCGAAAATTTTGGAAGTAGAGATGCATTTTCCATGTAAATGCCCTAATCCGTTCCAAGCCCCACCTCAACATTCAGATATAAATGCTTTCTAAATCATGAAAATGCATCAAAATATGTAACAAACATGTTACAATTAGTCTATTGCACAGAAAATGAGAGTTGTGCATAATGTAAAAAACAAAGAGAATAAAAATTATGGTCATTTTACTTTTAACTGCGTCCTCATTGTTTTTTGCCCTCTTTCGTTCATGTTCTCTCTCAGAAGTAGTTTTTGCTGGTGTTTTGTATAGAATGGATCTCATATATATATATATATATATATATATATGGATGGAATTACCGTACTGAAAATCTTCTATTTTCTTTTTTGCATTTGTTCATAAAATACATATTTTGCATCGGACGCACAATAAAATGAACTTCAAATTAGTATAGAAATACAACGTGAAACACACATGTCCAATGGCGGGAAAAGCATTAAATTAATTAGGAGGGCATGAATCTTTTGTCATATGTGTGTTTGTGTTAACAGTTCCTTGCACACCACCCAAGACATTACTCCCCCTTACTTACCCCCCCGCCCTTAGTCCCCCAACAGAAAGGGTGCCTGTATTGCTCTGGTGTGTATACATAATACATCAAGTAAAGGGGGAGAGTTTGCTCAGCGCTGTGGCGCTGAAGGGAGATGAAGGAGAAGGCCCCATTGTCATGAGGTAGTTTAATGTGACATGTTATTGCTCCATGAGCTCCTACTTAATGTGACAGTTAAAGGTTAAAATGTGAGTGAGTGTGCAACCGTGCAGAAAATCCTGCTGAGATGTTATTGTGCCGCAGACATGCGTGCACAGCAGTGAGATGATAGCACTATGAAACAGCTCGGCAAAAGGGAGTTTGTGCTGTGTGCATGGTGCATCCAAAAGTCACCGTTTGACGTCACTGTTGTCACCACAACTGTTACCGGTCGGCTTGTCGGCATACGCGGCTCACGATTCAGTTCAATTTGATGTTTTGTCCTAAAACAAGGGTGTGTTTTAGACAACACAACATGTGCTTGTACCCGACGGGATCGTCTTGTCCATTTATCACACTTGTGCTTCATCAAAATAATGGAATGTTTTGCTCATTGCTCTGATTGTGATTGTAACATCTCCGTTGTTTTTGCTTCACAACCCAAACCATGGTTCAAGGAACGGTCCCATAACAACATTTCACACTCTCAGCTATAAAGCACATGGGAACCAAAACAACAAAAATACCATCAACTACAACTCCCCTTCTGTTTACAGTAAAAACAGCACTCATATTCGCCTCTTTTGACTCAATGTGGAATAATTTCGTTGATTTTTCCATCATTGCTTCAACTAAGGGGGCGTTTACATAATAACAGTCTCGAAAAATTGTTTTCAACGGTGGCATCTTAGGAAAAGCAGTTGTTCAAACAATTCTTGCTCACATGGACCCGAGCGAGGCCACGAGTTTCCTATAATGGCTTTTCCCCCGGATGCAGCAGTTTTTGGAATAAAGACATGCAATTTGTAAGATTTGAATGATTTAGAAAAATTATTTGTGATTCACACCCTCCTCCTCTAAATTATGTGATCGCAATTTAGTGTGCGATTAATTTTTTTTTGAAGCCTTCCTCCTATTTATTTTTTTTAACAAAAACAAACAATATATTAATTTGTATTGCAATAAACTATGTCTGATTTATTGTACGCAAATTATTTGGTATTATGGGTTCAGCTTACTCTACAACAGGGGTGTCAAACTCATTTTTGTCCCACTTCGTGGTTATGGTTTCCTTCAGAGGGCCATACTGACTGTGAAACCAAATAAAATGTAGGATTGCCTCATATTACATATACCCCAACAAAACTTTTGAATAACTAGTTTTGAATTCCGGGATCAGGAAAACCTGTTCAAATATAAGATTTATTTTAAAAGGGGGATTGGGAACAAAACACGGCTGAAATGTCAACATTATTCAAAATGAAGACAAAGTGCAATTTTGTGGTGGGCCAGATATGGCCCCTGGGCCTTGTGTTTGACACCTCTGCTTTGCAATTAACAGTTATATCTTTGGATAAGACCTGACAAATTAAGCAGAACCACAAATTGAGTTTTAGGTATTGACTACAATAACTCGATAAAATTCTTCCAACTGCTTTCAGGTGTCTCTGCTTGTGTGAAGTACATTGACTTGGGTATGCAATGTGCTATACAAATACAGCTGCCTTGCCTTGCCAAACAAGTGTTGCCCAAACATTAAGTTAGAAAGTAATGAATCAGATGATAATGCAAACAAATCTGTGGCTTTACCACTTCAACTATTCATTTTTCATGATAAAAAAAAAGATATGTAAACATGTGGACTGCACTTGTTAGAGGGGAAGTCAAGTCAAAAGCTTGCCTAACAAGATATTCTTTGCGACCCACTAATCTAAACATCGCTTTCTGATTAATATTTTGCATTTGTGGAATATGAATTAAGCAGCAAAATCCACCTGTTTTTATTCATTTCGGGGGCGGCCATTTTGCCACTTCCTGTCAATTGAAAATGATATCACAGCTGCTTAGGCCTCATCAGGTAATGACCAATCACAACTCAGTCTTCCAATGTCACATGACCAAACTTAGAAAACAGGTGTGGCGTTACCTGAGCCCTGAGCAAGTGTGATGTCATTTTCAGTCGACAGCAGCTAGTGACAAAATGGCCGCAATATTAATCAGAATATCATGTTTGAACTAGTGGGGTCACATTCTACAAAGAAAATATTTTGACTTGCCTTCCCCTTTCAGCACCAAACTTATCTAGACTCAATGTAAATAAATAAATACATGAAATATACATATGGCCAAATATGGTCAAATTCATACTTTTCTTTGTGTGTTATTTTTAGGCAATACTAACCAATTGAAAGTGGTATAACTAGCTTGGAAACAAATACACTGGTGCTTTTGAACCCAACTCATGTCAGAGAAATTTTGCAAAAGTACATTTTCTTGTTCTGCGAAAGCTGTGCAGCAAAATAGTCATTGGCGAAAGTCTGTGTGTTGATTAGATGATAATGAGCGAAAAGAGTAACCTTATTTACATTTAACTTGGCTCATTTTGTTCAGCTCAATCGTTGTACTGCTTCCTTGGAGAAGGACCATCATGAGCTATGGAGCTAAGTTTATTTTGTATCTTAATATCTGGGTAATACACAATTCACCTAATTGTTTTTTCTTAGTTTTTTGTTTTCTTACGATTTCAAAATTACAGACTTTGCAATTTGAAAACTGAACTCTACCTCATTATTACGTTGCTTTCAATTTGATTAATTGTTCAGCCCAATTTCGAGCAACCTCCACAGTCCATGTTTACACCCTGCTATCTCTACGAGGTATTATTTACTAAATGTCTTCCCATGTAGCTTCAACAAAATGACTGTCTGCAGCCTCCTCTCACCCAAACCTCACCCTGGGATAGCTTTTGACACATGTAATAGCTGGGCTTAGAATTTCTAATAAAAGGGCCTTCTACTCCCCCGGCGTAGAAACTCTATTGACGTGAAGGTAGATAAACATCCCAGTCCTTTCACCATCAAATGGAAATAAAACCCTTCCCCCCCTTATTGATGAGCAAGTGAGACCTACTGTGGCTCTATTAACAAAAGAGCTGGCAGTTAATTGCTCACAGAGCTTTCACACAACTAACCCTGGGAATGCTGATAGTATTCAGTATGTAGGTCAGCAAAAGGTTTCTTTTAAACTCTACTTTTGACTAGCGGTAAGGCATCTCTTTTGCTAAACACCAGTTGTACATCTATATGGATTTTTATGTGGTAGTATTTGAGGCTTCATTTTCCACCCCCGCCCTTCGTCTTTAATTGATTCTTTAAGGCCTCATTATAAAATCATTCAACAGAGCAAAAGTGAAAATGTAGCACTTCAATGGCACAGCAGGGGGGTACTAAATTTTTAATCCAAATCAAATTATTCTGCCTTTAATCCCCCATACAAGTCAAGATCATTTATCCGACCCCTTGCTGAGCAAATGGGGGGGCTCTTCACCCCCTCGCAAAGTGGCAATGAAAGCCTTTACTGTAGTGAGACTGCACACAATGGGCGAACAATGACCGTCCAGCGTGGGGAATCTTTTATTGTATTGCCAAAGACGCCTCTTTTAAAACAATGACCGAGAGGGCTAAGAAGACAAAAATGAACGGAAAGCGTGCACCCATTATTATCAAATGTTTTTTTTTTTTAAATTTTGCTGGCGCCTGCTAAAACCAATGGACACAACATTTCTAACAGCAATCAGCGCTGCATTTAAATCTGGTTAGCCAAAGGGACGGGATCCAAAAGTGAATCTAGATCTGAGGATTTTCACTTGCAGGTGACAGCCCACACCTCACATATAAAGACCCTGTGAAAAATCACAGTTTGACATGACTCTGAATGGGCCGTGACGCTTCAAGCAAAGGGGAGAATTAAACTGGCCCAAAAACATTTAACAATTCCGAGATGCATTTTTAACAGCGCAGTTTTATGTGTTCCCTTAAACAGAGAGTGGTGTTTTTAACACAGCCCTGAGTGGTGTGCTGAAGAAAGGACTTGCGTTCTCATTGCCATTATGTATTGATTAGTTGCATGTGAATTACAGTGCCATGTAGTGTTGCTAGGAGACAACTAAATTATGCAGGGCTATGTTAGCAACCAGTTGTTTAGGGGTGTAAACAGTCATGGATAAAGATTTTTTTCTTTAACTCAAGCAATTAACACAATGGGCTGGTGAACTGAATAGGTAAATAAAATTAAACAGAAGTATGTGAGAGGGGAGCGTGTCAAAGCACTTGACCAACACTTCTGCTTCACTGAAGCTGCGCTTCAAGAAGTAAACTTTACAGTTGCATGCTGTGAGGCATCAGCCTGGCGGCCCCTCGGGCTACAGGCTTCATTAGTCAGAATGAATTGTATTGACGTAGGGGCCCCACGCAAGGGGAGAAGAGGGCTTTTTTAAATTGGCTTCTGTTAACCAGAAAACAATACACACCGGAAGACATTTTTGCTAATTTAGTTTGCTCTAAAGTAGTCATTATTTTATTTTGTTCATCTATCTATGAAAGGGGTGGATAGTGGCAGGTTGACTTAGTAAATGTTCTTCCATGAGATAGCAAGGGGGGGGGGGGGTGTTAAAATTAAGGTCACCAGGTCTCCAAACCACCACTGAGCCTTGTCAGTGAAAACACACATATTGCTACCGAATTACAGTACTGTGGTTTGGACGGCAGCCAAGGGGAATAAGCCACGCTGGTGGCATTTTGTCAAGAGCGCATGAGAGAAGTGAAGTAGACGTTCTCCGCTGTGAAGGGTAATTGAGAACTATTAAACTTTGGGAGCTTTGCCAAAAGAGCCACGTTTCTTCTCTCAGCAGCAAAAGAAAGGGCTCCCGGCGGGAAGGGCCGGGGGGGTTGCAGTTGTTCCACTTAACATAGAGGATGCTTACTTGTTTCAGAGGCTCGTCGTAGGCCCAGTCCGTGAAGCCGTTGGCCGACATGAAGGCAGGTGCACCAACAGGAGACAACACCTCCTTCTCTTCCTGCTCCTGTTTTATGGCAACAGGAGGCGGAGGAGGAGGAGACGACTTGCCGGCTGCTGGTTGAAGCCCGGGGCAAGAGTTGAAAGGGGGGCCCATAACCGGCTGCAGTCTGAGCTTCTTGGCTTCCTTATGAGGCTCGCTGTCCTCTGCATCCGCCCCCATTTCCTCCTCATCAGAGTCACCGTCGTCGTCATCCTCACCATCATCGTCATCCTGCTCTTCCCCCGTATTAACTCGGCTTAGATGGCTGTTCATAGCTTGCTGAGTGAGTCCATCCGCTTTGCTGAATAGGTCCTGCTGTGGTGCCCTCGCAGCAGCAGCAGTAGCAGCGTGTTGGGCAAAGAGGAGCTGAGCTTGAAGGAGGTGTTTCTCTTGAAGGTTCATGTCCTGTTTGGCTACTTGCTGTCTCTGGAGGTGCTCCATCAACGCCTCCAGCTTCAGGCCGGCAGGACTGGGCTGGGGGCATCTTGCGGAGCTGCCCTCCTCAGATAAGCTGGACTGAGACATACACAATACCATGACTTCAATTTGATTCAATTGTAAATAAATACAGGTTTTGTCATTGAGGGTCAAGTAACAAAATAACTCTCGTCTCAGAGAATGATAAAGAGATGATAGCTATCTAAATATTAGCATATTACTGAGGCTATCAGGTCTATTATTTTTAATGTCGCGTGTACCTTATGTCTTCTTGTAACCAATTAAATCATGATTTATAGAAAATGTTATCATTGGAACTAACAGAATGTTAAATAAAGGGAAGGTATCACACATTTGAAATTGAAGGCTATGGCTAGCTTTGTACCGTTGTCTGAAATTAGCTAGCCAATAATAAAAAAGGAAACCATTTCCAGCTATAAAACATTGGAATATCTTTTTAATGTGCAACTGATGTAGGGTGGCCGAAAACACAAGTTACAGGAGCACATTTATGTGTTCGTTCATCTAAAATGGCTTCATTCTTTTATGGGGAAACTTTTCCACAGAGGAGCATCAAATTGGAGGATAGCAAACCTTTGTGGAGAGTGGTCTGAAAAACCTCAAACACATACACAAAAAGGAAACACTGGAATTAGTGGTTTTTTGTTTTGTTTTTTTATGCGAGCAATGATAGGTGGCCAGTGGATACCGCATCGCGTTTTGTGTTCTGGGAAGAAAGCGCATTCATGTGATAGCTAGATAGATAGATAATTATTTTTAGATACATTGACATTTTACAGTTCTTTCCTTTGATGTGATCATTTTAAACTGAACCGTTCCCACATTGAGGCATCAAATTGTAGAATACCATAGACCTAGGTGTTTCTTTAAAAAGCAAGTGGTCTACGATATAAAATATAACAAATGCATACACACACAAGACAGGAAACTTTCTAAACGTAAATGTGTCCTGTCTTGAAATGGGAAGCAATCTACCTCGGCCAACGTTCGGTTTAATCGAACCAGCTAATTAAAGGGAGCATATAAAAGATAATGGATAAACCAAGTGTGTTGCTGTGGGTTAGCGGGTTAAAAGCAACCAAGGGGGAGTGAGGTAAGCGAGCAGATATGTGGCCTGCAGCGCTTTGTCGGGGATAAGCAAACACGAGTGGTGAGCCTCGACCGAGCGGTCGTCGACACTCACCATTTGGCCCTTGGAGTAATCCATCATCTCCGATCGACTTGTTCCTTCTTCTTGGGCCCCGCGCGAACGAATCGCATCGCACGAGCTTTTCGGACGGGAAAGATGGCTCGGAACCAGAGTGACCTGGTTGCTTGGGCACTTCTTGTTTTAGGAGAACAAGCTGTGTGGAGCTGAGGAGGAGGAGGAGGGGAGGAGGATGAAGAGCAGGAGGTGGGGTCACGAACAGCTGCGTGGTCACAGAGCTTGGAAACTACAAACATCTTGGGTTGTCTTTTTTTTTACACCCCCAACTTGCGTAAATGAATGAATGAATGAGGTCCGCCTACCGCTCGTAAACGCGGATTTCCTTGCAGGCTCCAACAGCAACTTAAAGGTGCGGGAATGCTTAAAAGAACAGTTGCCAATGAGGTCTATTGTATTTTTACAATAATAGTGCAAGCAACTCTGACTATGATCTTCGCTGCGCTGACCTACATTTACAACCTAAAAAAATACTTCAATACAAATGTATTAATTTAATCCAAACAGTCTATTCGCTTCATTTTGTTGTGTTTCCATTGGGTGTGGGTGTTTTTGGCAATAAATGCTAAGAGCTTTGTAAATTGGTAGTTGTTTTTCCTGTCACAGCACGGTAGACGACTGGTTAGCATGTCGGCCTGAGAGTGCGGCGATGCAGGGTTCGATTCCGTCTTCCTGTGTGTGTTTTCTCCGGTTCCTCCCACATTCCGAAAAAAACATGGATGGTAGGTGAATGGAACACTCTAAATCAGTGGTTCTTAACCTTGTTAGAGGTACCCAACCCGTTCATATGCACATTCACCGAACCCTTCATTAGTGAAAAATAAAAATGATTTTTTTTTTTTTTACAAATTCAAAACATTAAAAAACACATTTATTAAAACATAAAAAAGTGAATAAAATTACATGGCATAAGTATAGGTTTTTTAAATTGTGTAACGTACTATCACGACAGTCACACGGTGACGACTGAGCGAACTCAATTTCCCGCCGCACTGATTGGACAAGCAATGTAATGCGATCATCTACAGCCAGCGATGGCCAAGCGGGCGTGTCATAACTGATTGACATGTTGAGGCTCGTGTGTCTTAACCTCCAAGGCAGAGGCTCCGTCGAACCCAGATTAAGAACCACTGCTCTAAATTGTCCGTAGGTGTGATTGTGAGCGTGAATGGTTGTTTGTTTATGTGTGCCGTGCGATTGGCTGGCAACCAGTTCGGAGTGTACCCCGAACACAGCTGGGATAGGCTCCAGCACACTCCCGAGCCTTGTGAGGATAAAGAGATAAGCAGAAAATGGAAAGACCGGTGTTTCTTTAACCAATCAGATTTCAAATTTTACGTCACAGGGCGAGTTACCCTCGATGATGTCAGCATTTACCGTCCTCTGATTGGTTGATGAAAGCAAAACTTACAGCCACATTCGATTAGCAAAACACACTTGAATACGTTTAATAAATACAGTATCACATAACAGTGGAAAAGGTTTTGAAGAGATTTCTTGGTCTAATTTTTCAAATCTCACACCAAAAAAAAATCATTTGAATAGATTTGTATATATATTTTTTAAATTATATCCTTTGTATTTTGGTTAAATTATCTTCAATCCATCAATTCAATCTCTTCCGAAAAAAAATATGTCCACCAAATGTGACAGATCCATTTTTGGGATGTCATGACCATGTTACACAAAGTAGTGCAAAAAAAGCAGTTTGTTGACAGAGGTCTCATTTAGTCCTATTTTTGCTTTAACAACATTTAACATGAATCGCCAATAACTACCTACAATCTATCACATCAGATGATGGTATATTATTGATTTGATTCTTTAATTCGCGTGTTGAATTGATTACACTGTAAAACCAACGTGCCATTTGAACATGTTTATTTGAATCTCTGCATTGAACATTGTCCCTGAAATGAAAAAACCCACAAAAGCAGTAGATGGCTTTTTAATAAAGTGAAAATGCTGGCCTCTGGTGGCGACAAGTGAACTTCACATAAGCACTTCCAAACAAGTGCAGCCTCTCTTGAAGCAACTCATAACGAATCTATTGCTTCCTTAAGTACTCAACGTTTTCTTTTAAAACAGTATTCTGAAAATTTTGCGACAAACATTACAGATAAATTGTCCTTTATTAGGTTCATCAATATTTTACAAGCAAAAGAACTCAATAAAGGCAAACTTAAATATCAGACGGATGAGGCAAACGTTGATAGACAAGATTCTGCGTTCTTCGGACTTCCAATTCCACTTGATCTGGAAGACAAACAAACCGCATTGCAGGAGACTGACTTCTAGCGATACAAGTCAAGAAAACGCTGGCTCAGATAACTTACTCAGACTTTGTCAATACCGAGCTCTTCAGGTGTAGAGATTCCGAGCTCGTCTAATGTTGGCCTAAGTTCTTGAAGAAGGTATGGGTAGATCTCTTTGTGTGGGCCAGCTTTATCCTTGATGAGGCAACCGGCAAGAGATGCTCAATAATCAATCAACTAAATAGAAGACGGTCACTGGCAGCGTTTCTTCTCACCTTAACCGCTTCGAGAATTCGGATTGCACTGGCCAAGTCGTTTAACCTCCGACAAGCTCGCAGCGCTGCCTCAAGAATCTTTGGCTCAGGTACCAGATCGTAACCAATCAACGTGTTCATCCCTAAAAGACACATTAATGATATAAACGTGATAGTTGAAACATTTCCATTGGCAGATGGAATGCACATTTTTTTAAACGTGACACAAAATGATCAATATATTTAAATTGAACACGTGTGAAAGGGCAAGCACCATAGAAAATGGATGGCTGATATTTCCTTAAAAAGTGCCATGGCTCTTCCTCAATAGACGGTGTGGCACAATGAATTTGCGGGTGTGTCATTCTCTACTGCTCTATTTCGACATAACGTGAAATTATATTGAATCCCCCACAGTAGATCACTTAGGCTATGTTCACACTGCAGGTCAAGTCAGATTTTTCTACCCAGATGCGACATATATCCGATTTTTTTCATGCAATGTGAACAGTACAATTCCGATTTTTCCAAACCTGACCCGGGCCTCTTTTGTATGTGGATTTAAATCGGATATGTATGCAATGCGTCTTCAGTAGGAGCACCACTCTCTTCACATCCGACCAAGAAATCATCAAAAACCAAACATGCACTCTGCACTGGCGTGGGAAGTGCTCGGGAGACTTCTGACAATTGTCTGTGGATCTGCGAAGTTGTTTTGAGTAACAGTGTTACTTTTGTATTTGATTTTAATTTGATCCCACTTAAAATATGAAGCTATAAAGTGGTGAAGTGGTGATAGTAGTCATTCAGTCATGCAGACGGTTCAATTAAGTGCGACAATAACGTGATGTAATCTTTAGCAGACGTCGCCAACTCTCCATAAAATGAGATTGAAGAGCGTCATCTCATTTCCTGAAAATATTCCTACCTCTACCCACCATGCTCCTTTGTCAATCTAACATGAGCCACACTACATGCAGGACCATATTTACTTCCATAATCTGAAACATTACAGTTTTTTGTGTGTGTGTGTGTGCGCACTCAACATCATGTTTAGTGTGCATGCTCGGCACACATCACAGATGCGTTCCCTTCACATTAGGAGTCATGTTCGTTTTTGTATGACAACAAATTGATAGGATTTAACAATAAATAAATAGAAATGGGCATCATGCCCTGCAGTGTGAATCTAGACTACCTTAAATTGACGCAGTAATAGAGGCATGATTACAGTTTTAAAAAGTAAGCAGTGTTTTGTTCAGGGAAACCAAGACAACGAAACATGCCATTTCATCTGGGGCAAGGTTCTGAAAACTAACAAACTAATTTGTGTTTGTAATGATGAAACCAGGTATGTTGGGCCTGTTGTAAACAGAAGACCCAATGTAAAACCTTACCAGCGTCCTCTTGAGAATGATGTGTAAGCATACGTTAACTAACCATCCTTTTATCTGTCCCACCTGACTAGAATTGAGTACACCCTGGACCGACTAAGAGGCGTGGTTTTGGAATGTGGGAGGAAGGAAGAGCAGCCACAGAAAATCCATGCAAACAACTCACAGCCACTGCTTGAATGTGTATAACTTGCTTGGTTTGTCATGATTTCTGATGATGAAGAGGATTGGGGAGTAATGGAATACGTGTACTGGCATTACATATTCAGAATACAAAAATGTAACAGTATACTGTTACACTTACTGGAAAAAAGATGGAATCTGATTACAGGCACATTTATTAAAAATGGGGATAATTTTGCAGGATTACAATTTCTGCGCAGATCGACATATGCCACGGACCTGGTCGTTTATTTGAGCCCTGGGCACAACAAGTAGATAAACTGTCACTATTCGTCTCGCGCAGTCATTGGAAGCAAACGGGAGGCGGGGGAACTTTCTGTGATGTGTCCTTCAAACACAGCTAATGTGGAAGCAGGCTAAATTTGCCACTGGTATGAAAGTGTTTTTTCGCAGTGCGTGCATTTGTGTAGGTGAGATTGGGGCGGTAAATGGGGGGCAACTGGCATCAAATGTTGCCTCCATAAGCTTAATGTGTGCCCTTTCATCCTCTTTTCCCGGTATCACTGTTTATAACAATAACATGGAGCAAGCAAATCTCCTTTCTCTCATGCAATGAATGAAGTGCGTGTCTACCGATACATCGATCCATGCATGTCTGTCAAAGTGAGGTGTTGCTTTGTGGTACAGTTCGTAAAGCAAACCACATTACTTAACAGGTTACAAGTACCTGAATTGGAGTACAGGTACATTTCAAAAGTAACCCTCCTGACCCAGGCGATGAGGTTACCTTTTCGCAGTTCCCACGCATCGATGTCTTGCTTGTTGAAGTAGGTTACCCAGCGTGCATCGAACTCCTCGTCGGTCTCCTGTTTCCCATGTGAATAGCACCTTGAGGCCAACGCACCTGACAGAAGACAGTGATAAAAATAATCTCAATTTAATGCACTGTACGTAAAACTGAAAGGCACGCTGTCCACAGCGAACGACAGCTAGTAAAACGTAAACTGTAAAGTGTTGCGTCGTTTTAAAAACACAACAGTTTCGACTTTGGAATAAAGAATGTCTGACAATGGAATTTAGCAATGTATGGCTAAGGGCGTCCTGGTCACAAGAGCTGGAGGCCGACAAATTAAAATATCACATTTATAAAATTCAACACTAGCCAAATACGCGTGTCAATAGCACACTAAGACGTCATAAAACATTTTGGACAACCCGGTGGCAAAAAGGGATTTGAACTCTGTTCGCTCAACGCATTAGCATTAGCGGCACTACCACTAGGCCCCGCGCATGACACTTTCAACTGGGTCACGGCAAGGACACACACCGAATCAAGCTACCCAAACGGGCGTTAACAGGCCACCGCGCCCATATGTGAAACGGCTGTTCATAGTTTGAGTCTGTACTCTATCGCACAAAACGTTGACAGGCGTAATTAAATATTTGTAAACGATCGTTACACGTGTTAACGTTAGCTAGCTCGGGAGCAGCGAGGGTGCACTGATGTGTCCGCCACCAGTCACGAACACCTTCCTCAGCTCCTAAAGTAACAACGCCGCGCAAATATTGGTGACAAGTACCTTGGCAAACCGGTTTTGGAAGTGTCAAACTCCGAACACCGGAGAAAGACAGGCGGACGGCTGCTCTCAACATGATGCAGGACAGCCAAGCTGCGACCGACCGGTCAGTTGTCCTAGCAGGAAGCTCAGTCAACGCCGCTTAGCCAGACTCAGACGTCATCAGTTCCTGATGCGCATGCGCCATTTTTTTTTCCCCGGCGAAGTTGACCTCGAACTACAAGTGCTGACACGCTATATACTTGTAGTGTAGCAGTACAGATATTTAGTGTGTAAAAGCTCCAAGCCCCCGCCCCCTAAAAGTCTTGAAAGGGGAGATCGGAGTTAAAAAAATAACTTCTTGTCCAATGAAAAAAAAGTTTTCTCTTGCCTCTAATATGATTTTTAAGAAATCAACCAATCAGTGACAGAGGGGATGATTGATGACGTATCAATCAAGTTTGCAGGCACACCGAGGTAAATTTATCACCTCTTTTTTTTTACGTTTGATTAATTGGACATTCATATGATTTTTAAGAAATCAACCAATCAGTGACAGAAGGGATGATTGATGACGTATCGATCAAGTTTGCAGGCACACCGAAGTAAATTTATCACCTCTTCTTTTTTTACGTTTGATTAATTGGACATTGCAGAAAATAAAAGTTATAACTGATATTTAGTGTTAATTTAACACTGATTTACGAATGTCTCATGCAACCAACGTATCAACTGTGGCAAACCTCTGGTTGTGTACAGAAACTGGGCGGTGGGGTGATCAGCACGGAACCCCTAGGCCTAAGGTGACATGGAAGAACAAAAACTTTGCGTTCCCGTAGGACAGTACTTCAACAATGTCTGATCACACATCATTTGTTTTCTTTTTAATTTTGCAAATAAATAATTCCATTCATTCCTTGTTCCATTGTAATACTTTGTTGTGCTATACACTCATGTATGTAAAACACAAGTGTTAGCCCTCTGTGTTACTTCTCCATTTTCCTTTTAATGTTAATATCTAGTCCTGGATTTATAGAAAAATCATGCGATAATATGCTTCGCATCCATACGGAGATAGTAAGCAGCTTTGCTCACATTCATTTTCAATGTTAGTTAATGTTTCTGGGTTTTAATCTGCTGGCAGACTATTACAGTGAAATCCTTCCAATTCAAAAAAGATCATGAGGGGCTATATAACCGATTGCTGATAAATCAGATTTTGAGGCCATTGTGTGTGTGTGTGTGTGTGTGTGTGTGTGTGTGTGTGTAAAAGGGACTGTAAAAGGAATGATGATTGTTTTAAATGATATGACATTCCACCAGTAAGAGTTTTTAACCACAACAGTGTATCAATTGTATATATCTAAAAATAAATAAATCTGTAAAAGGAATGATGATTGTTTTAAATGATATGAAGTTCCACCAGTAAGAGTTTTTAACCACAGCAGTGTATCAATTGTATATATCTAAAAAAAAAAAAAATACACTTGTTGGTAAGTCGTGAGAAAATCAAGTTATTCCAGTAGAGCAGAGAAGAGGAAAGGTTGAGAGGACAAGAAACTGTTTTTATTGAAGCTTCCAAAGATTTCATTCTTTTTCCACGCTGACACTGAATGGGCAAAATTGACAACAAGAGTCAGCACTGCTATCAGTGTCAGCCAAGATGAAGTGGAGAGTCACACGAGTGACGGCCTTCATCATGAAGATGAAGCGGTCAAAATAGTCAATCATATTATTATATGGTGATTAATGCTGTTATCACTAACAGTAAAAACTTGAAGATAAATCACTTGTTCGATAATAATCCTCAAGAAGGATTTTAAGGACTTTACATAGCTCTGGTAATAGGAGCATTTTCGGAGATGAATGTCTGCAGATTTTGACAAATGAACCTCCAACATGCTGAACGCAGAAATCTGTTTGGAGGCTCAGTTTGGGAGATCATGGAACACATTTGCTCTCGTCCTCCAGGCAGAATCTCTTGGCTACCATGGGGCAATGAGGCAGCCAGAGCGTTGCTCCGCACATCCCTGTATCCTCTGTGGGACCGCTAACTGAGTGGGGAGGCTGGTATCCGGGCTCGTGGGGATTGAGAGGGTCTTTGGAGAGCAAGATACAGATGGCAGGGACCGTCCTCTGTATGGTTACATCTGGCACTCCGTGTTTTGACGCTTCCCAGACTTCATCCACGGTCTTGTAGTAGAGCTTGGACACCTGGTGGAGTCCTTCTACTTTCCGTTTGAGGATCTCCACACAGGTGATGGTCTTGGTGACCCCTCTTTCTGAGCCAGTGAAGACAATTTGTCTCGTTGACCGCCCGTGGCTGTCTTTTCCCTCGCCTCGCATGCGAGCTGTCGCGAACCGCAGCAAATTGCGGATCTTGCTTCCTTCTCTCACTCGCATGTGGAGAAAATCTGTGGCGAGTCCAGGGATGGGATAGGGACCGCTGTCCTCCGTGCGCCTGACTCTCCTGAAGTTGTTCAGACCGAGTGTAGGAGGTAAAGATTGAATGGCTGGGTTGAGTGAAGTACTTGAACACACCTTCTGAGCCATGGCTTCTGCCATTCTTTAAAAAAAAGTTAAAAAATGAATTAATTCTTTAAATAACCGGTGCGCTTTCCAAAAGAGTTTCCCAGAATCAAACTGCTTCGTAATCCAACTTGAGTTTTCTGTCAATTCGGCATTCTTTCATTCTCAGATGACTGCAAAGGAGTAGTAAAAAGGACTTTCTTCGTCGAATCCCTCTGACGTGAAAGAAAAGAGGTCCTTGCTCCATTCAACAACGAGGACAGCTGATGCCCACAACCACACATGAGGCTCCGACAGTGCAGTGGCACAAAAAGCTCTTAAAGGCACATGCAACATTTTGCCTCATTGAATTCCGTCGTTAATGTCATTTATCGGGTTGACGAGCAACTTTGGCGAGACCCTGAAGCTTCAATGCGGTTGCTTGAATGAAGCGGCTGAATACACAACATTTGATGAGATGCACTGACGCACTTGTTTTAACTCGAATGACAATTTGATGTTCCTGTTTTATTAAATAAGAGAGAGTTACATTCTCGATGGCTTTACTTGTCCTTTGCGCCCTTTACAAGGGGCCGTATGGTATTTAAGAAATGTCTTCCTTTGGGCTAATGCAGACATTTGTCCTCCTTTTAGTCAGTTAAGTCGCCTGCTGGGCTGACCCAGAAAACGTGAGACACTTTGGGCCTCCTGTAAATTAATAAGAACATTTAAACCTTGGAGCAGCTATGGGTTTTTTTTTGGCTGTAAAACAACCCCGCCCCCTCAAAAAAAAAAGCTTTGTCCTCAGATGTCAACAATGCTGGCAGGAGAAAATTGGGGAGGCAGCTGTGGGGCTCATATGGAAGCACAATAGTGTTATAATGTTGCCATTCCGCCTCACGGGATGGGATGCATCTCCTGTTATTTGCTGATATGAACAATGAGCGCAGCTTTATGATTTACTTTGTGTAGTTTATAAGAAACAAAAGCAAGCATCATCTTGAACATGTGATCGTTTTTAAAGGCGATTACTCGGCCCTCGAGTTGTTCTTGTTGATTTTCACTGCTTTGAAGTTGTGATTGCCTTTTTGAACACAAACACATGAAAGAACAATTTGAAATATTCATACTTAGAAAAAAACACATTTAAAACTTAGTTAAAATTTTAAAAAAATCACCCCCGGCAAAAAAAAAAACATTTTCAATTCTAGTTTCGACAATTTTTTTTCTCTCAAAACAAGACCTCTGTGGAAAAATGCTACTTCATATTGTGTAATGACACTTTTCCATGTCCTCCGTGATTTGTTGTATTTTTTTTCAGCTGGGCTTGGTTGCAATGACCTCTAAAATTTGACTCTGGATCTCTTCTTCCTGAGTGTTGATGTGGACATCTCCCACACAACCATTTTCATACCTGAGGCACATAAAGACAGTACAAGCGTTGAGCAGTGTCAGTCAATCTGGACACAAGAGTTTGCGTTTGGTTGTTCTTACACAAAGAGGAAACGTGTGCACACGTGGTCGGGTATGGGACACACCCAGATGTTCCCGTGCTTTTTAAGATCCGTTGACGTGATGACTGTGAAATGAAAACCCAGGGAGCAAACCCGTTTTATGAGAAAGTGTTGCGAAAAATTTCAAATGATTTTGCTCATACGTACCCTCACAAAGTGCGACACAGTTTAGGTTCCTGCTTTCAAGAAACCTGCAAGGGAGATCCTACAGCAATGAGATAATATCATGTGAAATGTCAGGATGGACATCTTTGAAAATTAAAAATGAATAAAGAGGGATTTACTTGTTGGATTCTATTTATCCGATTACATTTCTTCAGGAGTTCTTCTTTAGTGGGTATCTGGTGTTGTCCCTTGCCCATGTCTGAACAGAAAAGAGCACACCTTACAGGAATCTAAAGAAGGACTTCAATTTTTTTTTTTTTAATGAACATAAGTGAAATCATACCAGAATATCCAAACGATATGCTTGAGATTGGGCTTAAATAGATCCCTTTGCCGTACGCAGCTCCATGCATCTTTTAAAAAAGAAACATGTGTAACTACCAACAACGCTGAAACGTTATCAGACGTTTGAAGCTTTTGAAACTCAGAGCTACTTCTTGAGTACTGATTAATGTGAAGGGATGCATACGTCTGAAATCACACCATGTTAAGACACTGATCATATTACTGGTATATTCATAAATGATTGAACATAGCAGGAAACAGATATCAATTTGCAACACTTCATTTCTATCGCTGCACGCGTTTACATGTGCAAATAATCACGTCTCCAACAAACATCCCGAAGAAATCACAATGCCGAAAGATCGACATGATGTTGGTGAACCCGAGTTCATGAGATAAAGTTGAAGAATCGTCATCTCTTTACCTGGAATTTGGTATTGGAGGCATTCACAAGTCCATTTCTTAAAATGGAATGCCAGTTTTCAATGTGGGAACCGCTGTGGAAAGCAAAAAAAAAAAATATTGTGATGATGAGATGAATCAGGACCTATGTGTTCCATCGATGTGAAAGAATGACCACCAATGTTCTCACTGGAAGGCAAAGGTGCTGCCATAGAGTTTGCGTGCAGTTTGAAAACGAGCCTCTTTGGTCGGGGGGCTGCTGATGAGCAGGAACTGGTGAGGCGTGTGCATAAATGACAGTTGCTATTGTGCAGCGAGCAAAGAAAAGAGAGACACGGCGTAAGCACAACACACTTACAACAACGTCATCTGCTATATTTTCTAACACGGGGCCGCTACACTAGCCATATGTACTGCTACTGGAAGTGAAAGACTGCACTGTCCTACCCTGGTGGCGGGAAGCTTGACAATGTGAGATCTGTTGCTCGATAAAATCCTGATGTCAAACATACGAACAAAGAGATGAGACTCACTCTGATGGCCCATGTTTGATCCTCGAAGCAGTCAGAGCATTAAGTACGCTTGCACCATATGGTTAGATTTACAAAGACGATCATGCCTGGTTTTGATTGAAACGATGGGAATTTTTTTTTTGTGGTGTTGCCGTGCATAATATTTTACTTTCACACATGTAGTTATAACAATGTAATAGAATGTAAAAAAATGAAACCCTTTGTGGATCATGATTAATTCATTGTGGCTATTTCTGGAGTGGTCACTAGGGGGGCCGTATAATGACGTTAGTCGAGAAATAATAGTTTCACAACTAAGTGGCTCAGTAAGCGTCTCTATTATCAATCGTTTTTGGCTGAGGATAAAGAATATGCCTGTGAGTATTATCTGTCTCAAATATAAATTTAAAGGCACCACTGCATTGTTGGAACGTTAACAAGAAATTTTCCAGATTACTTCATTTCCACAATTTGTCAGATGTTTCTATTTCAAATGAAGTAAAATTTTCGAAGCACCCCGTATTTTATACATTCCTCACCATAATGCAAATTGTATACCACTAGCATAGGAAATACACACATTGTTAAATCGACGAGAGTGAAGCTCAATATGCTTTGCGACTTACCATTGCAGTAAAGGAAGGGCGAGAGGGTCTATCTTATCCATCTGCTTTTTGATTTCAGAATATGAACCCTGCGTGACAATGATCACAAAGTCAAAACAAAGCCAAACGTGTGAAATTAATGACAGGAGTGTAGGATTGACCTGTGTCATGCTCCTAACCAGCAGGACACTGTCCAGAGCTTTTTCCAACCTTTCATAGCTCTTTCTCTGTGATGAAACAAAAAAACCTGAGACGAAATTCACTGAATCTTCATATCAAACCGTCAATATCAGCCGAGTTCTGGTGATACCTTTGGACTAAAGGCCAGCATTTTGGGGTTCTTTGGATCAACGACAGATGGGTACGGTTCAAATATGATGCTTTTACGTGACGACTGCAGAGCTGACCGACACATTGCCACCAGCAAGTCGACCACCTGTGGAGCAAAAATCCTTTTGAAAACGGATCATCCCAAGTTGATGTGAAAACAACGACGGGGTGCGTTATTGACCTCTGCACCGGTGGCCACCTCCTCTGTGGCGCCTGCAATCGCTCCCATGGTGTGAAAGGAAAAGACGCACAGTTCCCTGGTGCAAACGGCAGGCTTGCAATTCAAAAAAGGGAATTCTTATTAATTTGTTTCGGTGCAGCTTAACGTTTGCAAAGGCTTACCTTCAACATGGGACCATTCTGGAAAACATGCTTCTCGTCGCAAATCACGCAGTAATCATTCAATGTGGGGATCCTCTGCTCTGCGTACCTCATAACCTGTGCGCACATCAAAGTGGGATCTGATTTGATTTGATTTGTATGTGCTACCGTGTGAATCTAATCTGCCCGAGACGTTTACAATTCGTGCTGGCAGATGTAACTTCAATTATTTTTGACAATGGGACTGACCCTTCAACCAACCAGATTGCAAATTCATTCCAAACATGAACGTCTCACGAAATATCACAGAAGCAAGTGTGGAGTTGCATTCTCCACATGCTTTAATTTGCTTTACCTGCATCAAGAAGCCATGATGCAGAGTCGGGGTGGTCTTACAGTGTCCTATGGCCTGAGAGAAGAACAGCAGCTCTATCAGCTGTTTGGTGCTGAGCTGAGCTGACGACTTCACGCCTGACACAGCAACCCTCTGTGGAAGAAGATACCCAAATAAAATCCAGATTCAAGTCACAGGAGCATTCACTACAATATAGTAGTTTTATTCATTCATTCATTTTCCGATCCGCTTCATCCTCACAAGGGTCGCGGGGCGTGCTGGAGCCTATCCCAGCTGTCTTCGGGTAGTAGGCGGGGGACACCCTGACCCGGTTGCCAGCCATTCGCAGGGCACACAGAGACGAACAAACATCCGCGCTCACACTCACACCTAGGGACAATTTAGAGTGCTCAATCAGCCTGCCATGCAAGTTTTTGGAATGTGTGAGGAAACCGGAGTACCCATAGAAAACCCACGCAGGCCCGGGAGAACATGCAAACTCCACACAGGAAGGCCGGAGCCGGGATCGAACCCACGACCTCGGCACTGTGAGGTCGACGCGCCAACCCCTGGAGCACCGGGCCAACAATATAGCAGTTTTACATTTAACAATATGAAAGTGACTGTTGGAAATACATTATTACTATTTCAGGTAAGTTGTAAATGTAGGGCAGTGTTTCTGATTGTGTTTGGGCCAGCAAGGCCCTGACTACACTTCAGCCACCCTGCTTCTTTAATGTATATGAAGGCAAACATCACAAAAATTATGTCACTGGTTAGGCCTCACCCATTTTTTTTTTTTTAACCATCAACGTCTTGGATATCTTCAAGAGGCAGAACTGACCTTTCCACTAGGTGTGTAAGTGAAGAGTTCTCCTGATGGATTCTTGATGTTATAGGATGTCGTGTGATTGGCGAAATGGTTCAGTTTCATGGGGGGCAAAATAATCCTTCCCCTCAGGCTGCGATCTTGGAGTGTGTTTGATCTAAGGGGGAGAGGTGATCAGAAAAGCCCGGAACATGCAGCAACATCAGATACTGGACGCTATTTACCTCGAGAGTGGCAGCCAGATGCTGAGTCTTGCACGGAATTTCTTCATGGTTCCACCAGGCCTGAACCAGCTGTGTCTTCTCCTCTGTTTCACTATCATGTTCTCATTCGTCAAATGGTTCCACTCCCGGGAGATGAAGACGGCTAAAACGCTGCGCGCCAATCTTGAAAGCTTAGTCTTTCTGACCTAATATGTGAACAGAAAATGATGCTCCTACCTTTGCAGTTGCTTTCCAAGATTGAAATGGTGTCTATTAGATGACTGAAAGACTTCCACCGACGGTTCTACAGTGAGAAATCGTGTATGGTCGTCATCACGGGAGAACGCTGATGTCAGATTTTAATAGGCGCTGTGCAGAATCTCACCGGGGCCATCGAGATATTGAGACAAAGAGAAGTGTAGGCGGACAACGATGGGCTCAGATGTATTAACTCTCCAGGCCTTAGCCACGTCCTCCTACGGACACCAAACCAAAATGTGTGTGGTTCACAGCACAGCAAGAGGAAGTCTGCATTTTGTTTTGAATTGGAAAGAAAATGAGTTTTTAACTTGCATTCAAAATGTTGGCGCTAATGTTCAGATCAACATCCACTTGATCAATTGATTGATATTCCCTGAAAAGCGCAGAATGTACGCAGGAGTTTAAAAGGCAGAAAAGTTTAATGTGGAAACATGATTGATTTTTGTTTCAATGTTTACCCGACAGTGACTGAATTGTGTGAATAAAGGCTCCTGACTATCTCAATATCACTATTCAGTCGTGGATGGCAGCTCGGGTCGTTGACGCAGCACTCCTGCTGGGACAAGAAGAAGCGGTCACATCATTTCTGTTCTTCAAGATGAGACAGCAGTTACTTATTCCTACATAAGTCGCTTAAGGATAGTCAAAGTGATGTTTACATATGTTGTCTCTTCTTCCTCTGAGGCGATGTCTTCCTCACTTTCACTCCACTGGTGCCACTCAGCTTCCTGAACAGTTGAATAGGAAAAGAATTCAGCCATCCGTTCACTTTCTATATTGCTTCTCCTCTCTAGATAGGTGACAACTAGTCATATTCACACCTATGGGCAATTTGAAGTCTCTGATTAACTTAAAATATATGTTTTGGGACTAGAACGTTGAAACTGAGAGCTACTTTTTGGGTACTGATTCATGCGAAGGGCTATAAATTGGACACACACTTCTAAAATGACACGTTTGGCATTTGGTGTAATTATTGGGGGGGTAAATCATCCCAATAGCTTGTCTCCATGAACGCTACTGGTTTGGTCCTGCACTCCAAAATTCGTACTAGTTTTTTTTTTCTTTCTTTTTTTTCCCCTAAACACCGACATTTCCAAACATGCAGCAATAATATATATATATATATATATA